CTTGTGTCCTTCATCGTGCCGAAGATTATACATAGGCGCATTCGAGGAAAAGTTCGTGATTAAAAGCTAGTGTGTGTGTTTTTTTATCTTAAAATTATCGGATAAAAGCATAGTGGCATGTTACTTCAAAATACAAGATACAAGAATAATTATTTTACGTTGAATATATGTCATAGTTAACATAAGCTCACAGGAGCTTGTATTTCGACAAACATATCTTTATATAAATAGTAAAACATTGTGACAGTGTAAGGCAAACAACAAATTTTATCACAAGATACCTACGTTGGAAGGATTAAGATAAAGAGGCTAAATAATCATGCTGTACAAAATTTGGCACTAAAACAACTTACTTAAAAATCAGTCCAGAGGGCAGGTGATTGGGACATAGCATTTATTTGTAACCAGGAGCATGGGTTTGGCAGCCGTTAATATTAAAAGAAGTTTTTAGTATTGATGCTGCTCGTGACGCCAGTGATGTATTTTCGCTTACAAGTTAAAGCATCGTTATCCAAAAAGAAGAATAGTACAAATTGAAAAATGTGAATTGCCTACAGTTCATGTCAAAAGTCAGAAACATTCCTCTCATGTTCTTTCTCGTCACCTGGACGTTTTTGTAAGTTAGAACAGCTGGTTTTGCAGACGCTTAAACTATGTACACAATATATAAACAGTTATACCACAGTATTGTAATTGTCTCGGTATTACTACAAATGCGTTCCAGGTCAGGTAATAGAGCATCAAATGTATTAAATTCAAATAAAGCACCACTTCACGACAATCATGGATTTATATGGGTACAATGTTACAAAAATAACATTCATACAGTGCATGCAAGCTGAAATTAACAAATAATTTGTTTAAAATAACAAGTAATCATTTCCATGAAATTATCCAAATAAATAAGATCTTTATGTCAAAATGAACTTCAGGTTTGATTTAGTGTTGTTTAATGTACGTCCTATCAACAGCTATACATGGTCATTTAAGGACGGCCTCCCCCATTTGCTAGATGCATGCGTGTGGTGAGTTTGTGCATACTTAATTTGTGTTCTGGGAGCCTGTGGTATGTTCATGTTTGTCTGACTTTATAGTGTAATTTCACTGGAGCATACTGCTGAATACACATCTTATTTTACAATCGAACCTCGTTATCTCACCATCTTCAATAGCCAAGGGTTCATAATTTAAATTTGTACTATTCAACCTTGGCAGATTTAGCCTTGTGTTTCATTTCCCTCCCCTGCCACCTTGCATAGACACTTTACTAGCAAAACTTTAAACTTTCAAGATTATTTCAGCACTGGTCGCCTATGTATTTCCCTTGGTTATCATTTACAGTTAGAATATGGTCAATTATCACAACCAACTGATCATATACAGAAAATGTTTTTTTTAAGTATTGTCCTCCATTGTTTTTTTTACATAAATCATGACATATAGTCGACCAGGCAACCTGGTACTGGGCGCCGCCATTATTATTTACATGCACAGGAACTTGGTATTAGTTTCTAATATATGTGTATTATATAATGTATGATATAAAAAATGGGGACCATAGGATGGTAATTTGTCCCTGTGCCAGGTTCAATAATTTGAAAGCTTAGAGAACAAGGCTAAATTCGCTAAGGTTGAATACATGAATATGTGAATACATAATGAACGCTTGGCTAGCAAAGATGAGATGTTACAGGCTGGACAGTAATGACAACAAAAACAGGCTGAAAACGTGTATGGAATGAACACATTATGAATATGTAAAATCATGATGGAAGTCCATTTTACCCGAATTACCTGACGTTATTTTCAATACCTTCAGTTCATCTATATTTCCACACTGTTCTCGGTATTCCGTCTATGCGTATTGCAGAGTTATCTTCTCTTGTGAGCAGGTATTGATTGTTACATCATTGG